AAGAAACAAACGCGATTGATTATCTGGTAAACTCCCAAAGCCAGACAGGATGTATAAAAAAATGTTCTTTTTGCCAAATCTTCGACATCGATAACAAGAAGTGGGTTTGTTCTAAATGTCATAATAAATTACCTACAATTAATGAAATGAATCAACAAATTAATGAATCATCATCATTATTATCTAATATTAAAAATACTACTAATAAGTCTTTAGTTATTTATTTTCATTCTCATAAGTTTAAAGAATCAAATATTCAAGGTTCAGTTCCTAAAGTTTATACACCACAAATATTTGTTTCTGATCTACTAGGAATTAATCCCAATTCGATTGCTAATGTTTGAAAAGTTCTTGAGCATATCAGTGAAATATCTGGGATTAAAAACAATAGGTATAAATGGATTGTAGTTACCTGTGATAGTGTACCATATCATCATATACAGAAAATAAAGAAGGATTTCCCTTGGTTTATATTAATTCCAGGTATCCTCCACGAGAAAATGAATATGTTAAAGGTATTCGTCGAGTTGAACTGGAATATTGATATGAGAGATTTTGCTCATTGCCAAGGGTATCGAACTAATAATCAACTTTAGTTCTTTAAAAAATGCTCTGATCATCATAAATCATGGGATTTGATATGTAATATATATAGACATGCAATGGTTTCTAAATTAATGTGGCCATATATTATTTCTGAAAAAAATCTTTCTGTTGAAGGTTATTTAGAGTGGGCTCAAAATCAAATTGATCCTATATATAGATTAAAGTATGAATAAATTTTTCTTTATCTGCAAGCAATTATTAACTTTCATATTGGAGTTCGTTTTAATAGACCTTCGCTAAGACTTGCCGCTAGAAGAACGTTTGCGCCCATTTGGTTTGCTCGACGATATCCAATTTATCGATTGATTGAGATTTATGATGAAGAGCAAATATTACGATTGAAGCCTGAAGTTTGCAATTTGATCTAAGAAAGAGTCGTAACTTCACGATCCAAACTTTTGAGTCAGCATCAAGGCTATGATGCAATACTTGAAGAAATTAATAAAGCGCTCAAATCATTGATTCCTCCGATACCTTCACAGCGGCATTGGGAAATTGCAGCACGTAATTGTACTAAGTTTTTGAAATTGCGTACTAATCTTTTTAATATTATAGGGTATTCTGAAAGTGAACCCCAAGAGCCTTGTACATATCCTAGTTTTTCTGCTAAATCAAGTTGCTTTTGGGCTCGAATAAGAAAAACTCAATTTGTAAATCCAAGCGCTGATAACCGTGGTTTTTAAAATATAATTAGAGAATGGATGCTAAGTGAAAAAATGAAGCGATTTAGTGAAATCGCACATACAAAGAGAATTGAACTTATTAAAGTGAAACTAATTAACAAGACAGCATTAGATATTTGGTATCCAATACCTATAACGTGTGAAGAGGCAGATCTTCAAAAGACTGAAAGTTTTTTAAAAAAATCAGAGATTTTATCTATTATTAACTCTTTAATTCCTTTTTTAGGTGATTCTGATCGTTCGCATTTCCGGTACTTGTCGAGTAAATCCTGTAACGAATTAATAAATATTCTTCGAGAGATTAGAAGTGTATTGAACAAAAACATCATTAATATTAGTAATGAGGAATAAATAGGTGGTGTGGTTTTGGTTAAATTTTTTAATTCTGTAATTGTTAAATGTATCATTTATATTTATAATAAAAAATTAATATTTTAAAAGAATCAACTTTTTTTAAATATTTTTAATAAATTATTTAAAAAT